GTGCAATCACAACTGCTTGCTGTGGAGCTCCTTCTCCGTCTGAGATGAGTGGGGTCTGTTGGCGGGCAAGTTCCAATTTAGTAATGAGATCATTATAATCCTAACCTCCTTGGAAGGATCCTTCACACCAGAGCAAGTCACTTCTCCGAATCCTCTCCATCTCTTCCCAGCAGGAATTTAGTTCTCACAACTCTCAAAGGAACTCCCATTTCCTGTTTCTCGTCTACTCCCGACCTCACTCTCACTCCCCTTAGCAAAGTTGTTCCGTCCTTCCAGGCTCCTTCACGATGCCTTCGCTTCGTCTCACAGATGAGACGCTGAACACCTGCTACGTCCACATACTGTGCTTTGTCCCTTCAGGGACAGAGCTAGAGCCTGGTTTCAGCTCATAAAGAGCTCACAGCCTTGTGCTGGTTCTTAGACCAACAGAGTCAGAAATAGCAGAGGTGCTTGTGAGCACATAGAATGTTCTGGAGCCCATCTCAGATCTTTGAATCAGACATTTTGGGGTCAGAGTCTGGCCTCCTCCTTTTAATACACAAGACCCCTGGCTTGGTTGGGGTTCACCCTTACACCAAACTCCTGGAGTGCTTGGTGGTTTCACCCTCTGTGGTGGTTGGCCTTAGGTGTCACCTTGACTGCACCTCTGGGTGCCCAGGTTAAACGTTGCTTCTGGGTGGGTTTGTGAGGAGCCTTCCCAAAGAGATTAGTATTTGAGTCGCTGGACTCAGCAGAGTAGATTGACCTGCCCCATGGGGATGGGCATTACCCAATTTGTTGAGGGCCTGAATAGAACAAAAGGTAGAGAAAGGAGGAATTCGCCCTTTTTCCTGCCTCTCTTCTTGAGGTGGGACATCTCGTCTTCTGCTATCACAATAGCATTTACATCTCAGCTCCCCTGTGTCCTGCGTCTCATGGCTTTGAACTCCAATTATACCATGGGTTTTCCTGGGTCTCCAGCTTGCTGATGGCAGACTGTGGGACTTCTCAGCCTCCATCACTGCATGGGTCAATTTCTTTTTTTTTTGGAGACGGAGTCTTGCTCTGCCGCCCAGGCTGGAGTGCGGTGGCGTGATCTCCACTCACTGCAACCTCTGCCTCCTGGGTTCAAGCGATTCTCCTGCCTCAGCCTCCCGAGTAGCTGGGATTACAGGCATATGCTGCCACACCTGGCTAATTTTTTGTATTTTAGTAGAGATGGGGTTTCACCGTGGTCTCGAACTCCTGAGCTCAGGCAATCCGCCTGCCTCAGCCTCCCAAAGTGCTAGGATTACAGGCTTGAGCCACCGTGCCCGGCCACGAGTCAATTTCTTATAATAAATCTCCCCACACCCATGTGTGTGTGTGTGTATATATATGTGTATATATATGTATATATGTATGTATGTATGTATGTATGTATAATATCTCCTATTGGTTCCATTTCCCTGGAGAACCCTGACTAAACCACCTTCTTAGAGAATCTAGAAAGTAGATCTTGCAGGAATATTTTCTCCCTTTTGCTAGGTTGTTTTGTCTTTTGTGAACCCTGAAAGAGCCCGTTCTCCAAAACAGCTTCTGAGCATCTAACTGGGCCGAGTTTCCAAACGGAGCCAAGCAGTCATTTGCTGACTAGAGGTCACACACATACTCTGTTCCAGGAAAACTCACACCCTTGCAGTGTAACTTAGGGACATTCAGAGCTGTCTTTTCCTGTTCGTGCCACCTGAATCAGTAGCTGTGGGAAAACCTTATTTTGCCTCCTGGTCCTGAGCAATAGACTGTGACAGCATCAGCCAATCAAAACTGACCAGTTTACATCCCACAACTGCATAAGCGGGCCAGAGTGGGAAGCTGGGCGGGAACTTTCTCTATCAAAGACAACGACTCTCTTGGTTCTCTCCAGGCCCAGCTTTGTTCTGCACTGAAGGCTGCATCTCCCCAGTTTGCAAACTGCTTGTGGAAATAGAGTCTCTCTTAACCTGATGATGCTTTCTCAGGTGTGTGGTTAACACTTGCACATGGTAGGCAATCCGTCCATATTTGTTGGGCAGATGTGTGCGTGGACGGCGGCTAAACTTTCCCAGCCAGAGTGGGCATCTCTTCTGGGGTAAGACGTTGGTGACATGCAGGCACCTGAGGCCCTGCCGCGGGTGCTTGGGCTGTGATTGTCCGTGGACCACGTTAACTGAAACTTCTGGTCTAACACATAGGGTAGGCATCTTCCTAGGAAACCCTGGAAAAGCAGCAGATAGGACTGGCTCTCAGCAGTGATGAAAAGAAATAAGAGGACAAAACGTGGTACTTTACATAACGGAGTACTATTCAGCCATAAAAAAGAATAAGAACCTGTCATTTGCAACAACAGGGATGGAATTGGAGGTCATCATCTTAAATGAAATAAGCAAGGCACAGAGAGACAAACATCACATGTTCTCATTTATTTGTGGAATCGAAAAATTCAAACAATTGAACTCAGGGAGATAGAGGGGAGAAGGATGGATACCAGAGGCTGGGAAGGGTTGTGGGGGTGAGAAGGACGGACCTGGGGATGAATAAGACCTAGTGTTTGACAGTACAACAGAGTGAGTAGAGTCAACGGTAATTTAATTGTACATTTAAAGATAGCTAAGAGTATAATTGGATTGTTCGTAACACAAAGGACAAATGCTTGAGGAGATGGATACTCCATTTTCCACGGTGTGAGTTTTGTGCATTGCATGCCTGTATCGAAACAGCTTGTGTTCCCCATAAATATATACACCTACTGTGTACCCATAAAAATAAAAAATGATTACAAGTCTAGATATAATTTTAAAAGAAGGAAACTGTCTTTGTGCGGAGGCTGGCTGGAGGCAGATGCTGCATCAGGCACTTGGCAGCCTGGTTTCCAGTAGCTTCTCAGCCCAGTGGAGTAGACTCTACGGCCCCATTTTACAGATGAAGAATGGAGGCTCAGAGAAATCACAGCTCCAGCTTTCTCAGGAGGACCATAGAGGTCCAGGGGCCGGAGGTCTGAATATTTAAGAGGGATTTGAATAACCATGGAAGTTAGCTTGGAGAGAGATTTGGGAGGCAGATAAGCCTAGAGTTCACTGTGGGGGCAGATGCCTTCCCCATTTGTGCAGAAGATTGGCCCAAGTGGCCGTGATGACATGGCTCCTACCTGCTTCCTAATTAATGGACCTCAGAGAAATAAACAGCGAGGACAACAGCGAATGTTGTCTCTCGGACCTTCGACTTTTCCAGGACTGCCTGACCTTTCTTTGTCCTTGTTCAGCTTCAAGTCAAGTCAGCTCAACCCTGATTGAGCCCCAGCAATGAGTCATGTCTGTGAAAGCGACATGGCCCCTGTCCTTGAGGAGCTTCGAGTCTGGTGACTGTCACTTCAACGGAGTTGGGCTGGACACAGTCATATATATATGCCAGACATGAGGCTTTGTTCTCATTAAAATAATTGCCCTGCATGATTCTAGCAATTAAGCTTCTTGATGTGTGTGGATGCGTGTTCCCAATTTTTTTCTGGCCTCTACCGAACCCAATGTTAATATTTGATAGCAGTCTTAAAAATTAAATTTAAATAATTATACAAACTGAATTAGGATAGCATAATATTACCAATCAGAGTAATATGGCTTTGTAATCCAGTATGATGTCACATGAATCTACAAATTAGGAAGCATGTCAGAGGAGGAAACCACATCCTTTATTGCTTTGCCTTAAATAGCTTAAAACTAATCTTTTCCACGAGCCAACAGCTATCTCTCATGTTTACTAATGCTCCTCTGCCCAGATTAAGCTAACTAAATGATGTTGCCCCATGCACCTGCAAATGCCTGGTGCCAGGGCAGGGACACAGGGAGTGGCAGAAGGGGAGACCAGATGTTGGCTGAGGCATTGATTTATGGGCATGACCTTCCATGTGCCCTGAAGATGGCTGAGACTGGGGTTTGATGAATGCAGTGCTGTGTATGAGAAGTTCTAAGGTGACAAGCAAAGATTCTATCATGTGGAGGGGCAAGCCCTATTATTAGTTTGGTGCAAAAGTATTGCAGTTTATGCAGTTGTAATGGCAAAAACAGCAATTACTTTTGCACCAACCTAATACCACACAAAGGAGGTGCAAGTGTATGCCACCAGGGCAGGTGCAGGTGATGGGGGCAGAGAAAACTCAGATGTCTCCAACCTGTGCAGAGTAGGGAAACCGAAAAAGCTAAGTGAGGAAAGTGAGATTGTTATCACACAGATGCATGTCTTAGGTTTTCTGATTCCATTCCCTGTGAATTTCATTAAGTAATCAAAGTGCTAGGCATGAAATGTGGGTATGCTGTCACCAGGTGGCGGCAGCATCCACTCTCCAAAATGCATTTTGTTCACACCTAGTATGTTTGAACACATAGTGGAGGTATTCTGAGCACATAGTGGAGACTAAGGCAAACAGTCCCTGGCATTGTGGAGCATAGAGGCTAATGAGGTGGCAGGTGCTTACATTTTATAATCTGTTGTGAGGAATAGCTAGTGGTAGTTAAATGATATAGTGATAGTTAACGGAGAGAAAAGTTTTCTCTCACTCCAAGTTATATTTTTATTATTGCTATTAACATAAATAGAAAATAAATATTAAAATAGTTATTAAATAAGCAAAAGATAATATTGCATTTAGTTATACAATTAAGTAGAGGCTTTCAAATATTTTTTAGCTTTGTGCAACCAAAATTATATGAGAAAGCAAAAACCACAAATACAGAAAATAAGAACTTCTCTGTTTGAATAGAAACGAGGAAGCCCTTCCAATGCAGGCCAGACCTTTAGGGGCTCGACAGAATACAGCTGGAGAAACACCCACACCACGCGCGGTTTCACCTGCCGCACTTCGGCCCGGATGCCCGGATGGCTGTGTGCGGAGACTTAGGCTCGCGGGCAAACCTCTTCCGGGTTCCGGTCAGGGTGCTGCCTCCCCATCCGCTGGGAGCCATTTTGTGTTTCAGATGCTCCCAGGCTCTCCCCCAGTTTAAGGACTTCAGCGTCTTTCAGGGCCTGTGGTTAAGCGGCTCCGAAAACACTGTTGCTGGTGGACCGGCTCGGGGTCTTGACTTCGCCATCCAAAAGAACTTGAGAGCACGTCCAAAGTAAAGGTAAGCAAGGGAGCTGATTGCACAGCGAAAGTGCGCTCTGCCCTCTGATCAGAGTGGCCGCTCAAAGGCGAAGCCGTGCGGGCCCACACTGGGGAAACCCCCTTTGTGGGAGTCTTACATGATTATTCCTGAAGGACTGGGAAGGGGTGTTGCCATTACGCATGTTCTGGGCTGTCTCCTGGTGGCACATGTGCTGTGGTTGTGCTTGCTAGTACACACATCGCATGTCTCATTAGCATCGTAAATCTCCACCCAGTTCTTTAGTATTACAATGAGCACAGATCAGCCCAAGGACACTAATCTTTGGTTTCTGCACTTGGATGAATTCGCGGATTTTTCCTTCTGCTCTTCTACCTCCTTGATGCAGGATGGTCTAACCACGAGCCTGGGATGAGGCATGTGCACCATCGGGTGGCTTGTTCTCGCCATCTATTTAGCAAGTTTGCTGTCCTCTAAGTGAGGCTATGACCACCCTCTCTGACCTACCTCAGAACCTGTTGCTTAGCTTCAGAAATCCAGCCTGGTGCTGGGCTTCCTTACAGCCTGAGGTCAAGCAATGTCCCTGAGACTTAACTGCCCTTGGAGACCAATTTTCAGCAACAGAAAAGAATGAAAATAAAGTTCACATGAGGGTTAGTGCTGCTGGCGATGAGAGGTCCTGTAACTATTTTTATTACCACTTCAGTGAGAAGGAGGTAACCTTTCATTCTCATTTCTCTCTCTCTAGTATTTTGCATTCTCCAACTATTATCTGTAAGAACATCTAAGAGCATTTGAAAAGCAGAGAAAACATATAATAAAACCACAACCAACCACACCATCTTAATGATAGCACTATTATTTTGTTGTGATTTCTTCCAGTATCTTTGCCCAAGGTTTATTACTTGTTAAATATTTGCAATTGTCCTCAGTAAAATTTGAGGACAAATCTGAGACATGATTTTTAATTTAATATATCTTAAGGTTTTTATTTGCAGGTGGCTGAATTTTTTCAGAAAAATTATTTTAGAGGCTACTCAACACTGAGCAGTTAGTATTTATTCAGGTGGCCATTCTCTGATGCCTACATTTCCCTACAGATGGAAGCAATACTTCCATCTGTAGGGAAATGAACCCAGTGGAGAATATTGTTTTTCTTCTGCTAACAACAACATCCGTTAGGACAGATTTCCACATGTCTGATTGCTGGGGCCGATGACACAAACATTGACAATAACGTTTCACACGTGTTGACTGATGATTTCCAAAAGCTTCTTCCCAGTTGGCAGTTTGCCAGATGTTTCCAGAAATAGATGGGAATGCCAATTTCATCACACTGTTGCCAGCACTAGCTGTGTCCACTACATTTTAATGCTAGTGTAATAGGCAAAGGGGACCTGCTGTCTGTTTCACCATTCATTTCTTTGCATGGCTGTCAGGTGGGACATTCCATTCTCCTGGAGCGGCCAGATCACTCTCTCTGGGGAGGCCCTGGCAGAAGCTGCTCTGGTGTCCAGCTCCTGTGTGAAGCCTTCCCGATCCTCTACTCTGGGAACAGACTTCTTTTCTGCCCTTTAAACACCCCTAACATCATGCGTGGGCCTTTGCTATGACACAATGGTTCCCTATTCTGCATCGTCATGAGGCTGTCTACACCCTTTCTCTCTCCTGGGCAGGGCTCCGGCTCTGCAGGGGATGGGGACATGTGTCTTAGTCACCTGCCTTGTCCAGCACAGCATTGTACATGCCACAGAGGCCCCACAGAGTTTGATCATAAACTATGATTAAACCAAAATTATGAATGGATGAAAAATTTCCATTAAGAAACCTCAACATTTAATGTTCACGAGGGGATATAGGGTAAATGCAACTGGTAGTAATAACTTAAGCACACCCTTAGAATGACCCTGTATGGCAGATGTGCCTAAATGTATGTTCTGCGCTAGAGAATCCAGGAGTGGCCAACCAGGAGGTTCATTCCATGTCTATGATAAACATCTGAGCCCCTGGCCTGTTCTGTGGAACATGGACCCTTCAGGGGATTGAGGCCCTGAGTCTGGGACTGGATGAAGGTTGCCAGGTGCTGGTTACCAGGAGGGTGTTAAGTGAAAATGCTGTGTACACAGCATACTGTTCAGAAGAGGCTACAGTCTTCCTGCCCGGCCCGCCACCACTGGACTATTTCTGTACATAAGGTGATTTCCCTATTCAGCCCACCACCACTGGACACTCTCCCTGCACGTACGCCCCTAATAAAACCCCATGGCTTGGGTGCTAGCTCTGGGTCTCTTCTTCAGCCTTCCTATTGAGCTTAATAGGGGTTCAGCACAACCGTGGAACAAAGAACAACAAAAAAATTGGGGATCTTAGCTCTAGTTTTCCTTCCTCCCTGAATCACACATGAAGAGAGTCATGTGGCCTTTCAGCCTTATCCCATTTGAAAACAGAGGCTGTAGGATCCAATCTCAATCCCCTTAGTCCTATGTTTGGGAGTCAAACTCTGACTTGTTCATGGGGCTGTCATCAGACAGCAGAGCACACAGGGCAAGGTGGAGCAGGAAGCTGCTGGACGCTCTGCCTTCCTTATCCAAGTACTGAGGTTACATGGGGAGAGCTGTGGTCCTGAACTTATTGATTCACTTGAGTATTTTTTTTAGTGACCTACTATGGGCCAAGCATTGCGCTGCCTCTGATAGTGAAGGCAGAATGTGATCAAGAATAGGTGTGTTTCACAACACTGTTGTCTGAGCTGCTTATGATGTTAGAGCATGATGTCAGGGAAGCCAGCTGATCAGAGTTGCCACTCAGTATTTGGCCTCACTAGTAATGTCTTCATTCTATAAAGCAGTGCTTCTTGTGCACTAGCAAGCATCAGCATCACCTGGAAGACTTGTTAAAACACAAATTTCTGGGCCCACTCACTGAGTTCCTGCTTTAGTAGATCTGGGGTGAGAGCTGACAATTTGCATTTCTAACACATTTGCAGGTGATGTTGCTGGTCTGGGGAAACCACAATTTGGGCACCACTGCTGTCAATTGAAATAATAACAGTTTCCATATGTAGGCAATTTCCCTGTGCCAGGTGTTATGTGGACAGCTTTACTTGCCTTATCTCAATCTCCGGAGAGACTTACAAAGGAACTATTGATAGCTTTAATTTCTGAGATGAGATTTCTGAGAGCAAAAGCTGTGAAAACCCTACTGAAGCTGGCACAGTGAGTGAGATTGGGGCTGAGCCCCTGTCTCTCTGGCTCTAGTCACTGTTATCCATGCTTGGTGCATCTACCCGGTTACCACGCCACTCTACCTCCTTGGGGACCCTTCTCCCCGATTACCAATGAGTCACCTTCAGATAACACTGTGCCTCCCACAGACAGTGCAGATGCCACCTAACAGAACATTCCCAGTTCCTCCCTCAAATTCTTGGGATGTTGTTGCCTTCACCCCACTTCTCCATGTGCCATACTAACTCAATAAATTGTTCCTGTGATTTTAAAGGATTGTCTTTTAAAGATCAATAAAAAAGTTCAAAGATTATATTTTATCTTCATGTTTCCTTCATGATGCCCTTCCTTTCTTTATGGAGATCTGTATTTCTGACCTCTTCCTTATTCCTTCTCCCTGAAGAACTTTCAACAATTTTTTCAGAGCGGGTCTATGGGCTGTGAGTTCCATCCAGTTTTTGTTTGTCTGAGAAAGTCTTTGTTCCTCCTTTACTTTTGAAGGACGATCTTTCTGGATAAAGAAAGGGTTTTCTTTTTTTTTCTTTCAAGACTAAATGTTTCATTCCATTCTCTCATGGCTTGTGTGGCTTCTGATGAGAAGTCTGCTGTGATTCTTATCCTTGTTTCTCTCTAGGTAAGAGGTTTCTCCCCCTGCCTTTGTCTTGTTTCAAGATTTTCTCTTTGTCTTTGGGTTTTCTGCAGTTTGAACCTAATATACCTAGGGGTGCGTGTTTGTGACTTTTGTTTATTTGTTGCTTGTTTTGTATTTATCAGTTCTCTGGGTCTATCATTCATTTTGAAAAGTTATTAGTCATTATTACTTTGAACACTTATGTGCTGTTCTCTCTTTTTCTGGTATTCCAATAACACATATGTAAAGCCTTTTGATGTTGCTCCACAGTTCTTGAGGATTCTGTTGTTTTTTGTTAAATATGTTTTTCTCTTTGCATTTCAGTTTGGGAAGTTTCTGTTGCCATATGCTCAAGCTCACTGGTTCTTTCCTTGGCTCTGTCTAGGCTACTGAAGAGCCCATCAAAGGCGTTCATCATTTCTTTTGCAGTGTTTTGATTTTTTGTATTTCCTTTTGATTCTTTCCTAGTGTTTTCTTCACTCTGCTTATATTACTTATCTGTTCTTGCATGTTATCTAGTTTTTCACTGGAACCCTTAACATACTAACCATAGTATTTTAAATTATCTGGCTAATAATTCAGAGCAATAGGAACTGAGGTCAACAGGCCTTCGTGTGAGGGTTTATGTTCATCTGCCTCAGAGTTGGGCTGTGTTCAATATTTGCTGTAGGTGCCAGAAGCCTCACCTCTTGACCTTGAGTCCTGTTCTTCAGAGCCTCTGTCTGGAGCTCTTTCAACTGTAATTTACTGCTGTTATACTGAAGCCCTGTTGATGAGGTGGTAAATTGCAGGGGAAGGGGAGTGTCCTATAATCATCATATTAAATCTCAGTCTTTCAGTGGGGCTCTGTGTCTGGCCTGTGATTTCACAAGTGTTTCCCCCAGCCTTAGGTGAGACTGGAAGGCTGGAGGGAGCTGCAGTAGAAAATGTCCTTCCCCAGGCTGGAATGAGGCTGAGAAGTTTTTCTCCTGGACAGTGGGCCTTCCAGGGGAAAGGAGAAGGCTCTGGTGTATTTCACAAGGAATGCTCTTCCTTTCCCTGCCAAAGCTGGGAGCAGCTCTTTCTGGGATCTTCACCATCAGAACCTGAAGGGCTCCTGGAGATAAAATCCACAAAAGCATGAGGTCTCCCCAAGGCTGCAGTGCCCAGTCTTACATTGCCTTCCT